ATCAAGGCACAAACAGATGTCAGCGATGTGGAAACCTGCTCAGTCGATGAAATCGAGTGTTCCATTGCCATCCAAAGGCTGCACCGGCCAGAGCACTCGCTCCAACGTCTTCGAGCCTTGAATACCCTGGAAACGCGCCCTTGCACGACCTTCGACGAGCTAATTGACGACCTGAAGATTATCGAAAACATCAGACGAGACGCGGCGTTCGTGGGGACGAACCGGAAGAGGGCCGTTCACAAGGTACAGAGAACACCGCAACCGACGAGCGCGTATAAATCCAAATACGTTTGCTACCGGTGGCGAATATCAACCTGATTTACACCACGGTGAAAATCAATGGAGTCCCAGTTAAAATGGATGTGGACACAGGAGCGGAGGTATCCCTAATAAACCGACGCACCTACGAACAGTTGGGGAATCCAATCCTCGAGAAAAACACTCAGAACTTAATATAGGCGAGCGGAACAGAACTCGAATCCGACGGAACACTCCAGTGCCAGGTCGAGTTGGAGGATACTTCATTCACGGGCAAGTGTCTCGTGACCGACAAATGTTCCCTTCTCGGACTCGACTGGCTAAGGAGGGACCCGCACGGAAGAATCCTGAACTTAAAGTTCATATCCAACGCAATCTCCCAAGTCACGGAATCTCCCTCGGACAACGCCGACGAAATGGCGCTTATGAAGAAAATCAAGGCGCAGTACCCGGAGGTGATTGAGGGAAAAATGGGAACGTGCCTGAAATACGAAGCGGAAATCCTCTTGAAAATGGACGCAAAACTTCTATTTAAGAAGGCAAGACCAGTTGCTTACGCCATTCTTCCTGACGTAACGAAGGAGATAGAACGCCTCGAGGATTCAGGCGTCATCGAACGTTCCGACAGCTCTCTTCTTGCGGCACCTTCTCGTGGTTGTTCGCAAAAGCAACGGCGACATCCGACTCTGCGCGAATTCTTCTACAGGGCTCAACGCCGTCATCGAAGACGACAATTACCCTCTTCCCGCAGCGAAGACATATTCAACAACCTCAACGGAGGAAAGTTCTTCTCGAAAATCGACCTGATCGAGGCCTACCTCCGAGTGCCAGTCGCGGCAGGATGCCAAAACATCTTGGCAATAAACACGCCGAAAGGTCTCTTCAGTACCAAACGCCTTCCCTTTGAGTAATAACAGCTCCAAGCTCCTTTCCGGCACTGACCTTCCTATCTGGTCGTTTCCTTTCCGGAGTCATCACCAAGCTTCGGCTCAGAGGGGAACCCTCGTGAATTCTGTTTAATGATATTCTCCGCAACGGAGAACTCGATGCGGTATTCGGGGACCTTTCGGGAGTTGCAATTCCACTGCCTCATGCCTCATGTCATGCCTCCCGAATCCAATAGACGGCCGAATTCTCTGGAATTTCTGCTGTATTCCCTCCGAGTCTCTCCACGATATAGTATCGCTCGATACGGCGCGAGGAGTTCGCTTATGCTGTGTTACCACGAGGAACTGAACTCACGAGGTCTAGCGCACAAGCTGGTGGAGATAGAATATACTTTTTTATTAAGTTCGTTATCGAGCTCTTAAAGAGGGATCTTTCCGGTAGCTGTTCAAAAACGAGCGCGAACACGACATTCCTCCCTTCTCATTGTCAGACGACTGTCCGTGTCTCAACGCTCGAAACCAGCCAACGTGACATAATCTTTCCATCCCTCAACGGTGCGCGCTGGTTGCACGCGAAGCGGCTGGGGAGATTCCGCTCGAGAGCCCGACGTGCCATGAGCGGAAACCAAGGGTCAAGGGTGCTACTCACTCCCCCAAGTTCGTGTACGGTCGGAGAAGTTGCAACCCGCATTCAGCGAGCCATAACACACTCGGAAGAATACTGACGTACATAGACAGTTTTTCCTGAGATCGAGAACTGTTTCCCAGGGCTTTCCCCCTGTATTGCCAGAGGAGAGTTCTCTCACTGCGGGATCTTCAGGTTTTTTTCTCGGGCGCCCCCCTATCATCGGAGCTTTTCGCGAAATATATCGGAATGGGATAACTCGGGGTCTGATAGTCAGCATTGAATACTTTCTGAATGGCTTCCAACGGGTAACAATTATCATCATCGCCCCGCTCAACATCTGTTTCTCGCTACTACTCCACATTCGACTCTCATGTAATTATCATTGTTCCTCCAAGCCTGCTTCTTTTATATTCCTGGAAGACTGTAGGCGTGATCATCGGAGTGCGGAAGATTCTCCACGAGATCTTCCGCTCGGTCGACCCACTCCTCCCACAGGGTGATGATGGCCTTATCGGTTGGGCCGTCTTCGTCGAAAATATTGTGCCGTACCGCAGCTGAAATATAGCCGGAACAGGGAGCTTAGTGAACAAGAAGAAGGACGAGAGCCTCCGTCTTGGTCTAGACCTCTTCGCAGCCCACCTTTGCAGATGCGGCAGCAATGCTGACCCAGAGGGCTACCATTATCTCAGTTGCACCACTACTACGTCTTTCCGGCAGGCCCGGCACAACGCCGTCAATGACATCATACTCCGGAGCATAAGACAATTACATGTCCCGGTTCGCGCAGAGCCCGCTCTTTCGAGCCCTGACAGCGGCATCCGTCCTGACGGCATGTCTCTGACTTCTTGGACTCGAGGTAGACTTCTGGTGTGGGACGTCTCCATCCGGAACACCTATTCCCCCAGCTACATGGGCTTGGCGAGATCTGTGGGTGCCGTGGCCGCCAGAGGTGAACGCGACAAAAACATCCATTACAGAACACTCTCAGAGGAATATATTTTCCTCCCCTTTGTCATCGAAACTTCGGGCGTCTGGGGCGAACGGGCGACTGCTTTCTCCAGGGATATCGGTGGACGACTTGAGCAGGCTACTGGGGAAACACGCTCGACGGCATTCTTCAGACAGAAAATCGCACTGGAGACCCAGCGAGGCAACGCAAGATTGCTTCTCGACGCTCTGCCCCACGGGAGGGGTCTTGATGAGCTTTTCTTTGAGTGAAATTTTCCTTAACTTAAAAACCGTAGATTCAAATCCTTACTATATATAAAAGGCTAAATAAAAATAGAAGAAGGACGAGAGCTGTTGCGGAGCGGTATTTGACGCTCCACTGATCTACTTCCTCCAGCCTTGTACTTCACACGATCAACATCTTAGGAGTGATCAATCCGGCATCCAGACGCTCCCAGTTCCCTACAATCGTTCGATTGTTCATCCTGGTCGCTCTCGAGAGATCCGAGCGGATATTGGAAACCCCATCGAGTGCAATCAGTTGATCGACGGCTACATCTTGAGCTATGCCACAGAAGGTGGCTGGACGATGATGAATCAGATATGATCTCAATCAGCGGACTTGTAGAACTATAGAAAGCAGAGATCTTCCCCGGAGTCCTTCGGGGCTTGGCACGAAACTCACAGAATACACTCCAAATCGCACCGTGAGCCCCTATCTCCCAATTGAGGTATGAGTTGCTTGACTCCACTGCGTTGTTAGTCCTTCAGTTCATTATGAAGAGAGAGAGACTGGCCGGACCTACGTTCTCGAGCCACTGTAGGCGTATGTAGTCTAGGAACGGCTGAAACTTCAGAGAAACGACGATGTGAGGAGAAAGATTGCTTGCATGCCGAGCTTGGCCCACCGGAAATATTCATCGATGATCACTTCGATGATCCGAAGATCAGCTATCGGAGGGGAGACGTCGAGAGCCTCCTGAGCGCAGAGATGGGAGGTCGGTACGATATCATCGGCAGCAACGAATGTCCAGCGAAAGCTAGAACCTTCTTCAGGATGTTGCCAGGTCCCCTGATTTCACGGGAGAAACCGACGGAGGGAGCACTGGCACGCCTCACCAAGCATTTAGTTTTGTGAAACCAACACCCCTGGATCCGTATCTGAGGGAACTCCGCGCTCTAATCGCACCATCGAAATCGCCCATGGAATTTGGTGGATCGAAATCGTGCACTTCTCGCTTCCGAACCCGGAATACCTCTGCATAGGCTTCACTGTCGGATGACTCCATGAGAGCGCAAGCCACCATTCCCGCCTATTGATCGAGAAGTTTATAGATACGCCCGGATTTGGATTTCAGGCTCAGATCGCTACCTACACGGCTGAGGGAGATCCAGAGATTAATCACCAACTCTATGAGAGGGACAAACGTCTTCATTCAGTCTTGTTGCAATAAACGGCAGTAAAGATGTTGAATCTCAGTCCCCGCCTCCGTACGACCCCACATCCATCAATATTTCACCCTCATCAATCATAGAAACCCCGGACCCTCGTCTCATCAGAACCCCGCACACATCCACTCGTCTACATCTCCCTCTCCGTACACGCACCCCGAACCCCGCTTTCTATAACCCCACATGTAAACAATCAGATAGAGGGGGTCATGCTCCCAAATAGGTTCTCTCCTACATTCCTCAGTCAACCAATAGGTACATAAGCACCGATAACCTCAGAATAAAGTACGGTCTACTCTTTGCCATCAAGTACCCCGAATCCCTGTGCGTGTGTATTCTATCTCCACCTGTGGTGTGGTCTGAACCCTTAGCCAGATCAGTGCCAGCTCTCGATTGGAGCACAAAGCCTAGAATCGCAAATCTTGATAACGGTTCTTCCCGCCGCGCCTGTAATGCGCCGCTGAAATAGCCGAAAAATCATTGTTGATTTTCGATCGATTGACCGGGTACGAACTGTGCTCGATCATTCGGACTGGCGGTTCGATAGGTGGCTCGTTTTAATCCAGAACTCTTTTCTCGGCTACAATCGCTCTGCCATGTCTGTGGTGATTGAAACAACCATGGGAGACTTCACGGTCGATCTCTACGTGAAGGAGAGGCCGCGAACTTCTATGAATTTTCTGAAACTTTGTAAATTGAAGTATTACAATCTACAACTTTTTTCAAGGTGAGTTTCAGTGTCGCTCCGGAGGGAGACTCCGACTCTGTGGACTTTTGAGCTTGTCCCCATTTGACGTGAAGCACAGCGTATCTTGTGTCTTTCCCGCGTGAAGAAATTCGCATCTTGAGTCTGAAACTTTGATTCGAAATTCAGGTGACATCGAACTTCGTTTGCCAAGCGGGAGACCCCACTCTGAGCGGAAGGGGCGGGAGCTCCATGTTCAGTCATCTTTATGGGGAGCAAGCGCGGTATTTCGAAGCGGAAAGCCAGCCCCGATTGAAACATCTGAAGCTGGGAACGCTATCGATGGTCAACAACGGTGAAGGGATGTTGGGCTCTCAATTTCTCATAACTTTGAGCGACAACCTCGACTACTTAGATGAGCAGGGACATTGTGTCTTCGGAGAGGTAAGTGTGCTCTGTCACCTTAACAAGATCATCTGTCGTAATGGTGATCGGCTTCCCGGATAACTTTTCAAGGCTCGCCTTCATTCACACAATATTGGCAATTCATCTTCGATCGCAAGACGAAGAACTGTTCCTCATTCAGCTCAATTCCCTTGCAGGTTGTGGAAGGCATGGAGTTCCTCGAGAGAATCAACGAGGTCATTTGTGACAAAGACGAGAGACCTATGCAAGACATCTTGATTTCGCACACTGTGATCCTGGACGATCCTTTCGCAGAGCCTGAGAACTTGGAATATCCGGCATCCCCCGAAGTTACCCTCGAGATGCTGAAATCCGATCGTATCGCCTGTTATGAAGACATCGCCGAATATGAAGGCCGCACAGCAGAAGAGATCGAAGAGGCGTTGAAGGAGAAGGAAGCGAAAGCTCAAGCGACGGTCTTGGAAATCATTGGGGATCTCCCAGACGCGGACATGGCACCTCCGGAGAATGTTCTCTTCGTCTGCAAACTCAACCCGGTGACGAACGATGACGATCTCGAGCTGATTTTCTCGCGTTTCGGAGAAATCAAAGGTTGTGAAATTATTCGCGACCGGAAAACAAGGGAGAGTCTCCAGTATGCGTTCATTGAGTTCGCCAACAAGGAGTCTTGTGAACAAGCTTATTTCAAGATGGATAATGTTCTCATTGACGACAGAAGAATCCACGTCGACTTCTCTCAATCGGTCGCCAAAGTCCAATGGAAAGGGAAAGGTCGTGGAGTCGAGGGAGACTGGCCAGAGGGAAAGACGAAAACCCGGTCCGACGACAGACCGCGAGAGAAATATGTGATGAGGGATACTCGCAAGAAAGACGGCTACAAGCTCATTCTAGGAGGAGAATCAGAGGCGAGGAAGTCACAGAAACGGGAGAGGTCGAGAAGCCCCGACAACCGACATCGATCCCACGGAAAGACGAGTCCTAAGCCCCGCCGGGAGAGCCCCCCTCCGCAGGGTCGAAGTAGAGATTTCCAGTTTAGGGAACGTCGACGAGAAGGGAGAAGTACCTCACCGAGAAACCGAGGGAAGAGTTTCTTGCCGAGGAATCGACGAAGGAATCCCTCGCCTTCGGACCGAACGAGCAGCCCATCACAAAAACGGACCAAGAGGAGTCCCTCGCCGAAGAATCGGAGACGGAATCCGTCGCCGAGAGACCGGAAAGATCGGGGGCGCAGATCTCGCTCTAGAGACCGATATTCGGAGCGTTCGAATCGCTATTGATTGAGACCTTGACCTTTAAAATAAACATGTATATATAATGAATTCATTGAGTATCATCAGTTTTACAAGGGCCGTGGGATCCGGAGACTTCTCATCATCAATTCGAAGTCATTCTTTTCGATCGAAAGCTGCGAGTTCTTCCAGCAAAACCTCGTCTTCCCGTCGAACGTCCTGGTCCCAGCTGATCAGCAGAGAGTTTTCGGCCGGCTCTTCAGTTGTCGCAGATGGGAAAATCAATGACACATAAGCCTCGAGATAGCCTGATCAGGGTTCAGTCGATGGGCGTTCCGAAGCATCCCCATGGAACGAATTGGTTTTGGGCTCTTCCGCTGCCCATCGTGGAAATCGAAGCAACGATTTTCGAGGTCTCCCAGTTCTCCAGCGGGGGTCGCTCCCGTCCGGAGCGTCGTGCTGAATCCGATGACGTGCAATCCCTGACGATACCGATTCTCTCCGATCGTGGTTATTCTCAGGGTCTCTTGAAGGATCACCTGTGCGCCAGAGGGAGGGGAAGTGACCGAAAAAGTGGCCCCGCAGCCCGTATCTGCCTCGTGAACCCGAGAGGAGTCGTGGGCTTGGACGCACTCCGATACTTCATGCTAAGAGGAGCCTCATCCGTGTCGGATTCCACCAGCCGATGCAAAGGGTACATCCGGCCAGGAATAAGAATGATGAATACAAGATTACTCTCTCTGGTTCCGAGTCGAAACTCGAGCTTCGCCTAGATCACATCATTATGTCACGTGATTCGTGACTAGGATCCCAGGATAGGATGGAGAATCACATTCCGTTTATTCATCGATGGAAATGAGCTCGTTCTATCAGGAGCCAGTGGACTCTTCCACTCAGTAGGAAGTACCAGGTTCCGAACCTTCACTTGTCTTCGGGGTGGGCTCGTAGTAGGTGACGACTTTTTCGGGTAATAGATCATCAATTGGGAATCTTCTGACGAGTAAGTCTGGATGGATATCTGGCCGATCGCATCGAATTCTCCACGAGATCTTCCTCTCGGTCGACCCACTACTCCCACAGGGTGATGATGGCCTGATCGGTTGGGTGGTCTTCGTCGAAAATATTGTGCCGTACCGCAGCTGAAATATTGCCAGAACAGGGAGTTTAGCGAATGAGAAGAAGGACGAGAGCTGTTGCGGAGCAGTATTCGACGCTCCACTGATCTACCTCCTCCAGCCTTCTACTTCACACGATCGATGAACATCTCAGGAGTGATCAATCCGGCATCCAGACGCTCCCAGTTCCCTACAATCGTTCGATTGTTCATCCTGGTCGCGCTCGAGAGCTCCGAGCGGATATTGGAAACCCCATCGAGTGCAATCAGTTGATCGACGGCTACATCTTGAGCTATGCCACAGAAGGTGGCTGGACGATGATGAATCAGATATAATCTCAATCAGCGGACTTGTAGAACTATAGAAAGCAGAGATCTTCCCCGGAGTCCTTCGAGGCTTGGCACGAGACTCACAGGTTAAATTCCAAATCGCACCGTGAGCCCCTACCTTCCGATTCCCGATCAAGGAGTTGCTTGACTCCTGTGCGTTGTAAGTCCGACAGTTCGTTATGAAGAGAGAGAGACTGGCCGGACCAACGTTCTCGAGCTACTGTAGGCGTATGTAGTCTAGGAACGGCTGAATTGTGTGAATGAAGGCGAGCATTGACGAGTTATCCACGACAACGATCACCATTACGACACGACAGATGATCTTATTATGATGACAGAGCATATTTACCTCTCCGAAGACACCATGTCTCTGCTCATCAAAGTAGTCGAGGTTGTCAACGGGGTCATTTGTGACAAAGACGAAAGACCTTTCCAAGACATCATGATTACACACACTGTGATCCTGGACGATCCTTTCGCAGAGCCTGAGAACTTGGAATATCCGGCATCCCCCGAAGTTACCCTCGAGATGCTGAAATCCGATCGTATCGCCTGTTATGAAGACATCGCCGAATATGAAGGCCGCACAGCAGAAGAGATCGAAGAGGCGTTGAAGGAGAAGGAAGCGAAAGCTCGAGCGACGGTCTTGAAAATCATCGGGGATCTCCCAGACGCGGACATGGCACCTCCGGAGAACGTTCTCTTCGTCTGCAAACTCAACCCGGTGACGAACGATGACGATCTCGAGCTGATTTTCTCGCGTTTCGGAGAAATCCAAGGTTGTGGAATTATTCGCGACAGGAAAACGGGGGAGAGTCTTCAGTACGCCTTCATCGAATTCGCCAACAAAGAGTCGTGTGAGAACGCTTATTTGAAGATGGACAATGTTCTCATTGACGACAGAAGAATCCACGTCGACGTCTCTCAATCGGTCGCTCTCTAGAACCCCACATGTAAACAATCAGATAGATAGGGTGGTGCTCTCAAATAGGTACTCTCCTAGATCCCTCACTGTATTCTATCTCCACCTCCTTTGCGGTCTGAACCCTTAGCCAGATCAACGCCAGCTCTGGATTGGAGCACAAAGCCTAGAATCGCAAATCTTGATAAGTCTGAATCGACCTTAAGGGTTCTTCCCGCCGCGCCTCTAATGCGCCGCTGAAATAGCGGAAAAATCACTGTTGATTTTCGATCGATTGACCGGGTACGAATTGTGCTCGATCATTCGGACTGGCGGTTCGATAGGTGGCTCGTTTTAATCCAGAACTCATTTCTCGGCTACAATCGCTCTGCCATGTCTGTGGTGATTGAAACAACCATGGGGGACTTCACGGTCGATCTCTTCGTTGAGGAGAGGCCGCGAACTTGTATGAATTTTCTGAAACTTTGTAAATTGAAGTATTACAATCTACAACTTTTTTTCAAGGTGAGTTCCAGCGTCGCTCCGGGGGAAGACACTGACTCTGAGGACTTTTGAGCTTGTCCCCATTTGACGTGAAGCACAGCGTATCTTGTGTCTTTTCCCGCGTGAAGAAACTCGCATCTTGAGTCTGAAACTTTGATTCGAAATTCAGGTGACACCGAACTTCGTTTGCCAAGCGGGAGACCCCACTCTGAGCGGAAGGGGCGGGAGCTCCATGTTCAGTCATCTTTATGGAGAGCAAGCGCGGTATTTCGAAGCGGAAAGCCAGCCCCGATTGAAACATCTGAAGCTGGGAACGCTATCGATGGTCAACAACGGTGAAGGGATGTTGGGCTCTCAATTTCTCATAACTTTGAGCGACAACCTCGACTACTTAGATGAGCAGGGACATTGTGTCTTCGGAGAGGTAAGTGTGCTCTGTCACCTTAACAAGATCATCTGTCGTAATGGTGATCGGCTTCCCGGATAACTTTTCAAGGCTCGCCTTCATTCACACAATATTGGCAATTCATCTTCGATCGCAAGACGAAGAACTGTTCCTCATTCAGCTCAATTCCCTCGCAGGTTGTTGAAGGCATGGAGTTCCTCGAGAGAATCAACGAGGTCATTTGTGACAAAGACGAGAGACCTATGCAAGACATCTTGATTTCGCACACTGTGATCCTGGACGATCCTTTCGCAGAGCCTGAGAACTTGGAATATCCGGCATCCCCCGAAGTT